TAGTCTGAGCTCAATCCCCTATCCTCCTCCGTTTTCATCGATTTCTCCCTATTCCTCCCACTATCGTTAACTTACAGGTTATCGATTGATTTCCTGTCTCAGTCCTTATGGTGTCGTTTATCCTGTGCAATTTGAAAACTCTTTCTTCTTCTTATTTCGCTTCACCTCTTTATCAACATATTCCTTCATTCTCATTATTTTGTTTTCATTTTCTCTCTATCAAGTTGAGAGAGAGAAGAGATTTTCATTTTTGAATGTAAAACTGAAAACCCGGTTGTTCCCTTTCGGAGAGGAGCTCAACTATGCTGTCAGCTCGCGATCTTCATTGTTTCATTCCTCGTTTCATATCTTTCTCCCGTGTTCACACTTTTCTGATCCAGTTTCATGAGCTGTATCTGATTGTGGTATGCGCTTCCCATTCCATTGATGCTCTGTAAGGTTATTCTTTGTCTTTCCCTCTCTTTCCTTTCATTCTCCGTGCCTTGGACGCTCATTCGAAACAAATCTTTCTCTCTAAGTTTATACTTTCTCATTCATACTCATTCGAACAGGCTTTCCATGCCCTTTCCCAATCTGCTACGCGCTTTTCGTTTTGGTTATGTCGGGAAAAGTTTTTTTTCTCGAATTTTCACTTGGTTCAGGCAACCAAAAGTTGTTTTTCCTTCTTCGTGCCTTGTTTCTCCATTAACACACTCATGTTTGTATTCTTCGGATTCATCTCTATCTGCTCTCTTCTGATCTGCTATGTGCTTGTTCGTTCATTGATGTTTGAGAAATGATTATCAGAATTTCACGCTCCATCTCCATTTCCTTTTCGATTTCCATTCCATTCTTGTTGAAGAAAAGTTTTTTTTAATATTTTTTTTCTCCTTCTTTAGTGACATGTTCATTCTCGTACTCATTCTAACCAGCTTTCCATGCTCTCTCCGAATATGGTATGCGCTTTCCGTTTTGTTTTTGTTGAAAAAAGTTTTTTCTCGAATTTTCTCTCGTTTCGGAATTTTTTTTTCAATTTTTGTGCTTTGTTTCTCCCTTAGCATGTTCATGTTCATATCCATTTGATTCAGTTTCTCATGCTCTTTTCTAATCTTCTATGCGCTTGTTGATTCATTGATGTTCATCGAAGTTTTCATTTTGGTTGGTTGATAGATGAGGCTATCAGACCATTAGGTACCAAGGGTTGATGACGATTGGAGACATTGAAATCAAAACAGAAACACAGAGACACAGTGAAATACAAAGAAAAGACAAATTCCAGACTGGGCAGAAGCCGTAGCAGAAGCAGAAGGAGGTAAGTTTGATCCCAAAAAGCT